TCTTCCTATTCAGACTAAAAAACTATGAACTGCTTCGCATATAATATTTTGTATTATTTTTTCTTATGTTTATCTTTTATTACAGACTTAGAAGTTTCAAAATGCTCCAACTGTTGAAATCCCAAGGGATTTCAACGAGGGCCAGGATGTTTATGTGAGTATCGTTTGCTTCATTTTATTGTTGCAAACAGCGTAAATTCCTTTTATTTTTCTTCCTTTAGTTTTGAACTTTATGTGTGGCAACAAGATAATTGATTGATAGAATTGTGTTTGTGACAGCCATGTAGAATGGCTCGCTTATTTTGTATCAATTATTTCGCATATTATTTATAATTAGTGTAATGAAATAAAAGTGTAGGAATACAGTCCATTTGTTGATTGATTATTGTTTGTGAAACATATTAAGTTTAAAGTCTCAAACAATTGTTTTAACAAGAAAAAATAATTAACAAAAGGAAAAAAAATACGAATAGGTTGACGCTTTCTGCACCAATAGTTTGACTAAGAAAAAATTAGGCCTATGAGCATATGAGAACTGAACAAATTCAATTAAAAATATTATCTGTGCCTGAACTTCACTTTTGTAATACCGTCGTAAACATAAAAGTAGGATTCATTACTATTAAACATAACTTAATTAACATAATTATTAATAAGTTATAGAATAAAACTTATGAAATTTATCAAGTAGCATTAAATATTTTACACTTATAATAGTTGGACATATTAGAAAGAAGATAAGTGACATTTTATTTACGTTTTACTAACAGTTAGATTTATTAAGATTGTTGCTTTACTTCTAAATTAATAGTTAGCTTTATGTTGATTTTTTTTATATCTCATTTTGGACAGGAACTAATGCAGCAAGTATGTGGAGAATAAAAATACACTCTGTCTTACACTCCATACACCTCAGTTTAAAAACTATCTAAGCGAATAGCATTCTGGCGAGAAAACATAAATGGGAAATTATAGTAAAGGCTGAAATTATAAACAACTGGGTAATTTACATAATAATAACTGTACATACTAATAGCAGTATATATCTTTGAAGAATCTTTCTTCAGCACGTTTCCTTTTCATTTTAGAATTTAAATTAAAGATTTCTATTATTCTAAAAACACTAAATTTAGAAAGCATAGAAAAAGCTGCTAATTTTATATCTTTAGTAATATGAACATTCAGAAGCAATATGAAATATATATGGTAAGGGCTGGTTACAGAGATGGTGTGGCAGAATTTTTAGAATTTAGTGACACACCAAGCAACAAAATCTAGAAATGGCAAAACTTTTAGAATTTAGAGCAGGCATTGGAAGCAGAATTTAGGATCCGCAGAGATTGCATCAAGTGGGAAAATGCCTAGCGCCAGCCCCCAGTGTGTATGATGCATTCAGACATATAATATGAATCATTTAAATTGTCAGTTTTCAATTTCTTTACTAAGAAAAAAATTTCTTTCTATAATGCCTGTCCTTCTGATAAGAATAAAAGCATTTTTGATATTTTCCATGTCTGTGTCTAGTGAAAATTAGAGAAAATAAAGGAAAGATAAACATGTTAAGAAAAAGATTCTAGTATCAGAAGTAAAACATTCAAATATTATGCTTTCTTTGTTCTTCCAGACCTTCTCCAAAAAGTAAGAAATACATTGTAAACTTTCTGCAAAATACATTTTTTACGTGTTAATAGCATGGAGACATTTTTCTGTAATTTTCTAGAATCTTGGGTCTATAAATTTTGCCTTCAAATCCTTCTAAACTTTCCAAGTTGCAATGTCTAAAATCCTAAAGAAAAATTCTGTAACAGTAAAAAGCCAGAAATATTCTGAGAAAAAATGTCAGAGGGAAAAGGTGTAAAATTAATTTTATAGAGAAAACTGAATATTCTGAGATAATTACATTGGAAAACATTAGAAAATCTTACCATGAAAAAATTTAAAAAGGCATTTTAAATTATTTACATAGCTATTTAGCTTTTGCTAAAACTGTTTCGTTAATTGTTTCGTATACCTTGCTTATTTTGCAGATTCAAAATATTGTATAATAAGTGGCCAAAATGGAACTTTATAATATGAGAGCAAAAATTAAAAACGTTTTATTTTAATGTTATTTTTTAAACATAATTTCAATATTTTCCCACTATTTTAATGAAAATTATCCATGTTACAATGTTTTAAAAAATGTCGAAAAACTCCCAGATCTCGAAATTAAAAATTTTCTACAGAAACTGATCTTAAAATCGCCACAATGCTGATAAGTCGCCGAATTCAGAGCCGTTTAATAAAAGAATTCACATCCCGAAAAGCCAAAAGTTGTTTAAGAGCTCTTCATTAGAAAAAATGAAATCATTTCAAAATACTTATGCTGCACTTCTTTTACTATAAAACTCGAAAATCCCACGATTTATATTAGAAATAGGAACGAATTATAACCCATTCAAAAGATAACCATATCTGTCAGTTGAATCACCAAAAATATTCCTCCAAAATGCTAATTCACGCTATTTCCAATGATTAAAATTAAGGACCTTTTGCCGATTTTGGCCGAAATTAAAGACTTTTAAGGACCAAAAATTGATTCCAAAAAACTTAAGGACTTTTAAGGGCCGTACGAACCCTGAGAATAAATATTACCAGAAATGAAGAAACTAAATTATAAACAGTATTACAGAACAATATTAACAAGAGACTTCAAAATGTCATTAAATTCTAATTTGCATAAAAGAGTCAGAAATTTTGGTTTTATTATTTTAGATTGCTTTTAGATTCTCAATTATGTAGAATTCTGCTTTGGATAAAAATAATTTTCAAAACAAGTTCATGGTTAAAGAGACAGAAGGGAATGATGAAGTTTTTCAGAAGAAAAGTAACACAATAATGTAAAAAAAAAAAAAAAAAAAAAAAAAAACATAAGTACAAGCTCAGTACTTTGCTAAGCAGGAATGAGAGACAGAAAATGAACAAAAGTCATTTTTCTATGTTAAAATAATGATGAGTTAAGAACTGCATTAGACACCCATAAAAGTGTAAGAATAAAGTGTATAAGAGGAAAAAATTTTAAAATCAGACATAAATCTAATATAATTTGAGTTTATAAAATAAAGCTTTATTTAAAGTAATGTTAATGATTTAATTCTTTGTATCAGAAAATGGAATCCACAAAAAACATTTCTTTACAAACATTTACATAAAAATTGCATTTACATGGATATTTTACTCGAAAATGTACATTCATATTACTTTTTTAGTAATATGGAAAGAAGACAAAATGTTTGTTTTCAGTTGAATTTCAGACATGTTAAATCAGGCGGTGTCAATCTTTTTATGGCTGTGGGCCAAAATCAACCAAAATGTGTTTGCTAAGAAGACGTTTTGGGTCAGCGGTATTTTTATTTTAGAATAGTCTTTCTTGATGAATAATAAGATAAATGTTATTGAAAAAATAATTACAATATGCTCTAAATTTTAAACGTAAAAATTAAAATTATTACAAAAACAAACATATTTTTTTCAATATCAATGGCTACCAATGCTGAATTTGTAACATCAATTTAGTCAAGTCTGGTATACAGTCAGTCATCTTAAGATGAATATTAAGTATCTTAAGCTGCTCCTGTTCATACTTAAAATATTTGCTCACAATTATAAGTTGAACCAAATGCGGACACGATGGCAAAGCCAATTCTTTGGAATTATGGACTACGGATTGGCATTGCCAAACTTATCGATTTCTTCTTAAAATTATGTTACAACTTTTATTTTTTAAAAATGCATGTTTGTTACTGCAACTTTGTAATCAAACAAAAATGTTATTGCTATTATTTATTAAGTATTCATCAAGTGTTCGTTTTATATTTATGTTGGATAATAATTTAATTTTATATATTATACTTAATTTCAGAGTTGAAGTGGGTAACTTGAAATTATGAAATGGGTCACCGCTCGGTGACCACAGGTTAAATAATTCAGCAGAACTGAGAAAGACAATGCCTACTTACATAAACATGAACATATGTGATACATTTATTAGCTATAAAACATACATATTCATGAAAATTCTTCATGATACTTTACTAAAGCACAGAAATAGACTACAGACTATGGATTGGCATTGACAAACTTATCGATTTCATCTTGAAATTATGTTACAGTTTTTACTTTTTAAAAATGCATGTTCGTTACTGCAACTTTATAGTCAAACAAAAATGTAATTGTTAATACTTATTTTTTTAAGTATTCATCAACTGCTCGTTTTATATTTATGTTGGATAATTTATTTTTAGTCCAAAGGGATTTGAATCCCGAAGGACTATTAGTTTCGTTTTGGCAAATGTTAAAAAACGCCCCTTTGGACGTAATTTAAAATCTGAAACATTTCAGATTTTTTTTTTTTTTTTTTTTTTTTAGTCCAAAGGGATTTGAATCCAGAAGGACTATTAGTTTCGTTTTGGCATTTTGCATCGGACTCATAAATGTCGGTTCACTTTTCAAACTGTTGCCATAAAATGTTAGAGTCCTGCATTATATTTGAAGAAATTAAATAATGAAAATCTGCGTAAATGTATGTATATTTCTCACATTGTCATAAAATAATGGTACATAGAGTCATCGAATTTTGAATAACGTAATCCTCCAACGAATATGAGCATGTGGAAGACCAAATTTGAAATTTGAAATTTGTTTTATGATCGATTTCTTATTTTTTTTAAAACTTTGACGAATTTTTTTGATTAACAAACTCAAGGATTTCAAAGCGAGCAATGGCAACGTTGTGCAGAAAAAAAAAAACATTTTTATCTCCAGCGCGTGAGTCTCTGTATCTCGATCAGAAATTCTAAAGATATGCTCGTTTTAAAACTATTTTGCGATATTGCTGTTGTTGCACTGGATCTTATGGTTTTTAAGTGCGAGGAACATGATATTTAATAAAGAAAGGTAACACACATAAAATGTTAAAAAACGCCCCTTTGGACGTAATTTAAAATCTGAAACATTTCAGATTTTTTTTTTTTTTTTTTTTTTAATATATTATACTTAATTTCACAGGTCAAGTGGGTAACTTGAAATTATGAACTGTGTCACTCGGTGACCCTCAGGTCATAGGTTGCTGAGGTCTGAGTTAAATAATTCAGCAAAATTGATCCATATTATGCAGAACTGAGAAAGACAATGCATACTTATATAAACATGTACACATGTGATACATTTATTAGCTATAACACATACATATTCATGAAAATTCATCATGGTATTTTACTAAAGCATACAAAGAGAATATTTATTACCTTATTTTAAGTTATGGATTAATTAAAAATTCAGAGCTGCTTTTTAAGATTGTGTAAATGAAAACAATTCTTCATGTATAAATTCTCTGTACTAATAAAGATTTTAACATAGAAAACTACAAGAAACATTAATTTCATTTCCTAAAATAATTTATTATGAATTCAGTTATATATAAAATACATAAAAATGGACACGACAGTATCTAATGGAATAAAACAAGCTATCATCCAAAACAGTATAAATTCACTTTCTGATTAAGTACATCACAATCAGGCTTATTTTAATCTCCACATGAAAATACTTAATTCATGAAATATTTAACATTTTTAAAGATACAATATAATCAAATATTATATGTCCCAAAATTTTATCTATAAAGATTTCAATTCCTTGCAATAAATGCACATAAAATATTACTGTTGCATTATTTTCATTGAAAGCTTAGTTGGTTAATTGATTAAGAGAATGCACATAGGGCTATTGGCTTACTTTTAAGGAAAAAGCAATATATACATGAAAGGCACATGTATATATCCTATTGTTAATACTCCATAATTATTAATTCATAACAGGAATTTCTGACACAGTGTTACAAACTTAGAGATATTCTATTTCCCAATATATTTCTTTTCAACTTTCAACGCTAACTGCTAAACAATAAAGCAAACTACTTTGGGTTTTTCAGAGAACAGTTCCTTGTAATTTCAGTACCTTGTAATTCAGTAGTTCCTTGTAATTCAGTAGTTATAGTTCAGTACTATATAGTACTGAACTATAACTACATATCCTTTAAAAAAATGCAAATTAAATTTTAATCCTCATAAAAAGATTATAAAAATTAATATCTATGGAGACTTTTTTATAGATAATCTATTGAAGATTAAGAAATTTTAATAGATAAAATTAGTAATTTTAATACTTCATATAATGAATGAGCTTGAAGTTTAGTTTTCAAAAGTTACTATGTTATTCTATAATATTTACATAAAATATTTACATTATAGGTATAAAAGAATGTTTTTGCAAGATGTATGAAAATTTTTATCATCTACTTTTGGTAAAATCATTTGAAAATTTTCATAAAGTTGGGATCAAGAATGAAAATCATAATCTTAAAAAAATTTCTTTTAACAGCAAAACTCAGTCACATCTTGAAAACAACAACAACAAAAAAAACTGCTTTACTCTTGAATTTTTTTAACTATGCAACAAAAATGGAAATAAATTAATAATTTTTTTTAATATTTAAAAATTACATAAGCTACTTTCCTGTTAGAAATATCACAGGTAACATGAACTGTTCTATAACAGCTTATACAGTTCTGTCTACAAGCCTGTTTTTCCTTAAACAGCTTGTAATAAACAAACTTAATAAGGAAGATTAATTAGAAAATTAACATCATAAATATACACATCAAGAAAGTTTACATTTATTAACTTATTTAAGATTTCATTTTCTCCAACAGCATTTCAAACATTCAAACTATATCTTTCACAACCAATTATGTCAAGAAACTTAATACACAAAATATAGACATGGCATACAAGAAGTTCTTAATGTGAACGTACAACTTACATAGTTTAAAGCAACTTGTGCAAAATAATAACATATATATGATTAATGAAATGTAAATAACAAATGCAAGATCTATATATTACTCTACATCATTAAGAATACATGCATGTATTTAAGAATACTAAATTGGATGCATATCAGTTCTTGGGTCTCTTGGCATCACAAATACAGGGAGCAAAGTATATGTAGCTCCTTCATCAAAACATGATACATGGTATATCACTTCCAAACGTTTTGTAATAGAAAAGTTTATTTTACATCATATACATTTGTTTTTTACATCATATACATTTGTAAATGAATATTTTAGAGGATAACACAAAAGACTTATTTTTACAGATAGTTTCACTATGAATTTCTATATAAATTGACACTTTAATCATTTATAATAACGAGAATAAATCTTGAATACCAAAATTCCAGCCAGTATGATTCCAACAGCAGGAAGAAATCTTTGCATGTGATAACTAGAGAGAGAGAGAGAGAGAAAAAAAGGAATGCCATCAAAAGTTAGAGAAATGAACGAAAAAAAACCTTTTTTAAACCTCTAAAAAATTAAATTTATTTGATTCTATGCACATTGGTCATATTGTTCCTATTTGCCCTCTTCTAATTTTATTTGCACAGCATGCATGCAGACACAAATAACTGAATCAATGACCTACCAAATAATGAGATTGTTGGGCAATTATAGTTCTTCGAGATGAAGGCCAAAATACAAGAGTAAGAGTATTGCACATAAATGGTACTAGGTTATTGTTCTTGATTTTTGTTCAAACCCTAAATGATTCCTTGCAGCAATCAATTGCCAGAGGGTGCTGCATACATTTTCTCTTGACACATGAGAGGTGAAGGGGGTATCAGATACTACAATGAAAAAAGGTCATGGAAGAATTTGAAGACAGTCATCATTCACTACAAACGTTCTTTTCAAAGCCACATATTCACTCACTTTAAAACTTCTGATACTGTTTACAAACAATACTATCAGTCATGCACATTTTCCACAGATACTATTCAGTCTATAACTGATTTGAAGCAAGATTTTGGCCTTTTGTTTAAGAAACCTATTAATGGCATAATCTCATCCTAGGCAAAAGTATGAGTTAAATTAGAATCTATACAGTCAAAAGTCTTTAATCCGGACTCGTCGGGACTTCGCCGATTCCGGATTATCGATTTTTCCGGATTATAGATCATCAGTTTAAATCTGGTAAGATGTCAAGCAGAAATTATAAAATTAAAAATATGAAACCGAATTTATAAAATAATGAGCAATTATGATCTAAAGGGTATCAAAATTTACAAAAAAAGAAGCTTAATATTTATTTGTTTACTTTATTAAACATTTCTTTCAACGCGCGCATGCGTAAAGCATACCTTATGCATAGCCGAAATTAGAAAATTGCAACCAGAAAACTATTTGATTTGTATTCGTGATATTTATAATGACGAGAATTTGATTTAAATCATGTCAAAGACGGAGTACATCGAGATTAAATACTACATTTAGTAAGGAATTATAAGCCGAATAAAATAAAAACATCTGCCCTGCAGATAATGGTAGTGCTGATAGATCAACTTCCAGTTCGTTGCGCGCCGCGACGTCCCCCTCCCCCGCGCAGAGCAGTGTGAAATTGATAAACAGATTTCGGAACGGTTAGATAAATAAAGGATATGCCTTCATCCATTTTTTGTAGCAATTCGTTTTTTGTTTGATGGACATCGAAACATACTTTAGTTTTCTAGATCCTTTGGGAGCTCCAGCATCGGAAATTCTATTTGACATAATCGAAAGTTCAAGCTTACTTTTATAAATTGCTCTTACAGTCTGCAAAAAATAATAAGCCGGATCCAATTCGAAGATTAAGGCCCAACGCAATCATCAACATTAACTGAAATAGATAATTAGATAATTTTAGCTTATACCGTCCGTTATACATTAAACGCGCACGCGAAAACGTATTCTGCGCTTGCGCAGACGCATATGCGCAGTCGTAAATGTCTTGCGCCCACACGTAAAACGCCTATGCGCATGCGTCAACGCGACGCATGCGCAGAAAGATTTTAGCTTTGAGGTCCGGATTATAGATCATTCTGGATTATGGGTGTCCGAATTAACGACTTTTGACTGTACTACAAATATGGGCTAAATGAATAGCTAGAAAAAATGATGTAGCATAGCATATATCTAACTTTTGCATATATAAAATGCATTTCTTCATTCCTATTTTTATTTCAGAGTTCTTCAGTTAATTAAAAAAAAATTGCATAACCTGAGAAATTTATGCAAATAGTAAAGATAAAGACAAATGCATTCTAATTAGCTAGTTACCACAGTTAAACATAGCTTCTCTTGATACCAACTTACATAGTTCCTAAAAATCACAAATGAAGAATTTTAAAACTAGAGTAAGATTTGAATTATTTGGAACTCATATTATCTGAATTCTTTACTTTTTACAGATAAAAAATAATTAGACTTCCAGTTATTTAATTGGATTTTTTTAAATGTTTTCATTAATTTAAAATACAACAATATTGTCCAAAACATTTTCCAGGTGAAATGCCTCTTCTCTTGCATGATCAAAGTTTGATGATTTGGTGGCTCCTTAATTGAACTTATCCATTGCTTGTGCCATATTTTCATTGTTGTGCTTCTGTTCATAGACCCACACACTAAGCGCTCCTCCAATGTAAATTCACTAGAATCCGCCATTGATTTTATGAAACTTACACTGTTCATGATCAGATAGAAAACAGCCTCGATCTTGCTTTGTGATCATTGGCTGATAGATGATAGATAACTTGCAGCCGTGCTTAATGCTTATTGGAAAATGTGGAGGTATGGAATTTTTATATACATATAATCTCACATTCATAGCCAGACTCTGCCATAAATAAAACAGTTTTGGAGACTTTTTTTAATGAAATATGTAATCTTTTAGATGGAATTTCTAATGTTTCTGAAGCCAGAAAAATCAAATGATTTAAAATGGTGGAAATAGCAATTTAAGGTTCAAATAACAAAATATTAATCAAACTGCATAAAATCCCCATATATAAACTATTCATCAGAATTAGAATTTTAAATAATTTTTTACACATTTATTATTATGTGTTTAGTATAGGTTTTTAAAATATTTACACAAAACTTTAAATTCAGGGAAAACAAAACAAGCACTAGAGCTTACCATTAAAACAACAATTTAGCCTTAAAAGTAAAGAAGAAATGCAATTTTTAATAATGCTTAAACTTTCTTGAAATAGTAATCTGACTCATATTTATTTACCCCCACCCTTTAAAAGCAGTATTTTCATGCCCACAACTAAGATATTACATAAAAGGATGAAATATACATTATGTCAGACGATGTATGGTTGTTGGGGAGAGTAAGCAAGTGATACAAAAATTGTTACTAAGTAACTCATATTCCTAAACAACAAGACTTATTCATCAAAAACAATTTCTACAAATGCACCAAAAAATTACTTAGAAAAAGAATAATTACAGAAAAGTTATTTTTATTTTCCTCCACTGACTTTTTCGAAATAGTATTGAAAAACTGAATAAAGAAAATGATTACAGAAATACATATTTACTATCTACTATACAGCAGATATGTACACTGGTGTACAAAAATTAAGGACAGAGTCGAAAAATTAGCTTATCAGTGGAAAGGAGGCAGAGTGGACTAAAAGAATAATCAGGAGATTGACCAGGGTCAGTACATTAGCACATGCACATATATGCAGCGAGACATAATGGGGATATGCCAGAGGGGTGTAAAGATCACTGGAGGTGAATGCTCAGCATTTTGGGGAAGCTATTATCAGTTTAAATTATGTCGAGTCGGGACAGATGATGTGAAGCCTGCACAGCAGTCAGGGAAGATCATATCCTTACAAAAGGCAGGATGTTTCTTGCTGGACACTTTGTCGCATGGATGTTTTGGCCTTCTGTTGCATTGTGCTCCATGCTGCTCTTTCTATAAAGTTCCTTTCTATCATTTTGATTTCATTTTGGGGAAGTTTTCCTTATATTACTCATGTTCTTACATCTTGGGGATCTTGCAGTATTATTTTTATTGATTTGGAAAGCTTTTGCACAATGTTATATTGAAAAAACTGTCTCGTCCTTAATTTCTGAACACCAGTATATATTTCCAACTACCAGCCATTATTAAACAGAAAATTATAATAGGTATTATGTTACAGCAGCTCCAATCAAAGAAAATTGCGATTTTTGCAATTAATTTATAACTGGAAACTAAACCCTATTAAAATATTCATGTACACAGCTTATTCTTTAAAGAAAGATACCACACATATCCAAGTTAAAAGTACATATTGATCATTCCTTTAGATGCAAAATATGTTATCAGGTTTCAGCTTGAGGAAAATAACTTGGTGCAGTTTAATAGTTTATACATAATAATAGGCTAAAAATTAAACACAATATGTATGTATATATAATACAATATGTATGCATATATAATATATAAAGTAAGAAATTTAGAACTAATTTTTCAGAAAGACCAAAAATTGAAATTCATAATTAATTAGAGTTCTAGCCTAAGTTACAGTAAAGTTTATAGAGGAAACCTTTAACCCTTGTCTTTGTGATGCTAGTTTTAATGATGTTAGAATTTGTGATGTTAGTTTCATAATGACAAAACAATTTTTTTAAAAAACAAAATATAAACATATCTTGTATTTTGTTTAAAAAAAATTGTTTTGTAATTATGGAATACAAATAAGCAGCTATTAGAACTTATACTATTTTAATAGTTTTACAAATTTAAGTATCAGAACTAACATCACAAAGACAAGGGTTAAAGTTTTCCTCTATAAACTTTACTGTAATTTAGGCTAGCACCCTAATTAAATATGAATTTCAATTTTTGGTCTTTGTAAAAAATTAGTTCTAAATTTCTTACTTTATGTCTTTACTGATAAATTTCTAGCAGTTTTATGCGCAAAAATACGAGGCATATTTATATTTTGTTAAAAAATGTTTTGTAATGATATATATATATATATATAGATATAAAGCAAGCATGTATTGTTTATATGTTAAAAGCAATTTTTCCATGTAGATTTTTCTTGGATTATTAATACTTTAAATTTTTTATAATAATAAATACAAAATTACAAAGTAATTTAATAAATAAGAATAAAATTTTTATAAAAATAAAAATAATAATAAAATTTTTTTTTAAATTAAATTTTATAAAAATATTAGTTAAGAATTACGAATTTGTAGATTGGAATTTATTTAGCCTTCAAAGTATAATTCCTTTGCTTACTGGCTTTCTTAATTTTAACTTTAAATATAGGAATTTTAATAGGAGTATTTCCCTTTAATTATGTTTAATTATGTTATTATATATATACAGTCAAAAGTCTTTAATTCGGACTTGTCGGAACTTCGGCGATTCCAGATTATCGGTTTTTCCAGATTATAGATCATCAATTTAAATCTGGTAAGATGGCATGCAAAAATTATAAAATTAAAAATATGAAACCGTAATTTATCAAATAAAGAGCAATTATAATCTAAAGGGTATCAAAATTTACAAAAAAAAAAAAAAGCTTAATATTTATTTGGTTACTTTATTAAACATTTCTTTCAATGCGGGCATGGTAAGCATACATTACGCAAGTCGAAATAAGAAAATTGCAACCAGAAAACTATTTGATTGTGTTTTTGTAATATTTATAATGACGAGGAGATTTAATTTAAATTCATATCAAGACAGAGTACATCGAGATGAAATACTACATTTAGTAAGGAATTATAAGCCGAATAAAATTAAAACATCTGCTCTGAAGATAAGGATAGTGCTGACAGATCAACTTCTAGTTCATTCTGCCCCACGACGTTCCCCCTCACCCCCCCTAGAGCAGCGAGAAATTGATAAACAGATTTCGGAAGGGTTAGAGAAAGAAATGAGCCTTTATCCAATTTATGCAGCAATTCCACTTTTTGTTTGGTGGACATCGAAACCTGCTTTCCCTTTGTAGATCCTTTGGCAGCTCCAGGCATCAGAAATTCTATTTGGCATAATCGAAATTTTCCAACTTGCTTTTATAATTATAAAATTGCTCTAACAGTCTGCAAAAAATAATAAGCCGGATCCAATTAGAAGATTAAGGAACAACACAATCTGCAACACTAACTGAAATATATAATTAGATAATTTTAGCTTAGCTTATACCGTCTGTTATACATTAAACGCGCATGTGTAAAGGTATTATGAGCATGCATAAACGCAGAAAGTTTGTAGCTTTGAGGTCCGGATTATAGATCATTCCGGATTAAAGACTTTTGATTGTATATATACATATCTTATACATAAAAGACAAGTTTTTGCATAATAATTAGCACAAAAAAGTAAGACTTTTATGGCTGGTTGCAGTTTCATTGAAGCTTAGTTCAATACTAGTAAGCATCCAGTTCTCTGAAGAATCAAATATGTGAATGTGTGAAACTTGCTGCAGTATTAAGTGCATGTGAATGAAAATGGATGAATTAAAAAGTAAAGAATAAATCTCAACTTTAAAGTTATAAGTAACATTTGAGACTTGGTGATAAGATTAAGTGAAATTAAATAAAAAATAGATAAAGATTAAATGAAGGTAGATTAAAAAAAAGACTAAATGAAGGATCATTTTATTGTTTTACTTTACAATATAACTATACATAACAAAGTCGTAAAGTAATACATAATAATAATTAGTAAAGTCAATAAAATAAATCAATTTATGAAATTAATAAAATCTTCACTGTATATACTGTTTCATGCAAAACATTTTTAAAACAAAATAAACATTAATCAGCTGAGTGTTCATGCTACACACACTTCCCCCCTCTTCCCCTTTTCTAATACAAGATTATCAAAGTGATGTTTGTAAGATGTGGAAGTGTAATACTTGAAGTGAAAGTTGTAGCATATGGCTAAAAAAGAAGAGAGGTGGGGTTCGAAACAGTTTTCTCAATGCCTCAAAAAAAAAAAAAAAAAAAAAAAAAGTTGAAAGAGATGCAAGTCTGGAGAGAATCTTACGTGCAGTGTGAATGAAGTTAGAAGGATAAGCACAAGAAATAATGAATCGTATTATTCAGAGTATTAAGTTCATTTGCCAAAGTAGCACAGCAGCAAAATGAACAATACAGAGGCTGTTCGCATATTTTTTAGACAATATAACTATACATAACAAAGTAGTAAAGTAATACATAATAATAATTAGTAAAGTCAATAAAATAAATCAATTTATGAAATTAATAAAATCTTCACTGTATATACTGTTTCATGCAAAACATTTTTAAAACCAAATAAACATTAATCAGCTGAGTGTAAGCGGTAATAAAAAATCGTTTGCTGCAAAAGAATAATTGCAATTGTACTATGTTTGTACTATGTTTTTAATTGTACTATGTTTATAAAAGTCAAAATTATCGTCTGTGGCTTGAAAGTTTTGTTTTTATTCAAAATGGCGAATTTAACAAAGCAGTGGTTCGAAGGCTACTTTTATGCTCTTTCCGAAGAGAAATAAGCATACTCCGTTGTCCAAAAATGATGTGAGAGTCATGGTTTTGTGATATCTAAAGCATCGATAGGTAATATCATCAACAAGAAAGGAAAAAAAAAACGTTAAATTGGAGCCTCAAGTGGGACAAAAATTCCAAACAAATATCTAATGAAAAAACGGACATCTTCGACTATTGCAAAGGTACATTGTTTAATGTTAAAAGAAAATCCCCCTAGTCAAAGGACAGTTGCAAAATCATTAAAATGCTCGGTGTCCACTGTAAACAAAATGATAAACGTCGATTTAAATCTTAAGAAAGCAAAAAAACGCAATGTGCATTGTCTTCTTCCAAAGCATATCACTCAATGCAGGACACGCTGCAGAATTCTATATGAGAAACACTTATTCAAAGAAAAATGGAAAACAATTGTCACAATAGATGAAGCATGGGTGTATTTAAATGATTGTAACAAAAAAAAAAAAAAAAAAAAAAAGAGCCATTTATTATCATAAAAAGGGAGAAAAAAATTTAAGTACATGGTTCAAAGAATCGAAAGAAAGTTTTTCTAAGGGATTCATGATTGTTGCTGGTTTTTCTTATAATGGCAAGTTAAAAATAAAAAGAGTGGGAAAAAAAAAAAAAAAAAAAAAAAAAAAAAAAATGCTCCAAATACTATCAGGAACATATTTTATTGCCAATTTTTCTGAATGAAATACCATCGCTTTACCCACAGTGCCATAAATCTGTGAGACTCCATCAGGACAAAGCTAGCAGTCACACATCAAAATCCACTGTAAATTTCCTAAAAGAAATGGAACAAAAAACTGGTATCAAGGCCATACCCTTCACTGATATCCCTACTAAATCTCCCAATGTGTAACCTATGGATTTTTGTGCTTTCGGACTTTTAAAAACTGCATTAACCTAACGTTGTCCCAAAATCTAACAGGATTCTGGAAAGCTGTTTGGGAGGAATGGGATAGAATACTTCTTCTGCCACTTCAAAAGGCATTATTATCTTGGAAATTGTGGTGTCGAAAGATAGTTCAGAATAAGGGATGCCAAACAGAACATTTAAAACACAAGAATTTTATGTAATTTAGTTTTGTGAATACAATATACATCGTCTAAAAAATGTGTGAACAGCCTCTGTATACTAGTTTTTGAAAAGAAACAAAATAGTTTCTTTAAGAAAAATTCATTTTACTTTGGAATAGAATACACAAAAATGGTTAGAAAATGCACCAAAAGGGACAACTGAATAAAAACAGTGGAACATAAAGCAACAAGGTATGGTTCAGCAACACTTTGATTCTTACTTAGTCAAGTTTATGTGGCACCAGTAATATAAGCAATTGCCTATTGAAGCTGCATGCAAGAAATATATATGCGGATATTTATACAAAAAAAAAAAAAAAAAAAAAAAAAAAAAAAAAAAAAATAAAATAAATGAGTAATTTTGATACATTTTACTTCTCAGCCTATTTTTTTTTTTATTTTTTAAAATTTATAAACATTTCCTACATGGAGGTTTTTTTCACACAGCCCATTTTGTGCTTGTTAATTTTCTATCACTCTGGTAACTATAAAATACAAAAATTGCACAAGAAATTTGATATAATCTTTAAGAATAAAACAGGTCTTAAATAAACTTACCACCAACGAGACTTATCAACCTATAAAAAATCAATTATAGAATAAATGCACGTACATAATTTTAATATAAAATTTAAAATACAAAATATAACTATAAATACACTTGTTTGAATGAAATATCAATTTACTTCAAATATATGACTTACCTCATCACTTTTATAATCACCCTAAAAATAAAAACAAAATAGATTAATATAATCATTTAAAAGAGAGAATACATAATTTTATCTCTAATAAAAGTTTAATAATAAATTAAAAATATAATTAGGAATATGTTATAATTTGAAAAACTGATGAAGTCATGATGCTGAAGCACAAAGAATAATTAGAAAAATGACCCTATTCCAATATTATTTTTTATTTTCATTGAGAAGCATTTTTATAACACAAATTGACTGTGCACATGTTTTAGAACTTTTACATTTTTGAGGACAGCAGGCAGTAGTTAAGTTGGCAGAAATGAAGTAGAGATGCAGTGCAATGTAGCCACAATAAAATCTTAGCTCAAAGTAAGTTACCTTCTATTTTGATATAATTTCTGTTGATTAATTTTAAGGGTCTAAAATTATTATAGGCTTATCGCACAAAGTTTAGATATTCTGAGATGGTGGTGTTTGATCTCTGAGCCACTGCTCCATGTCACTCCAAATGTAATCTATAGGGTTAAGATTCAGCGAGTTACGAAGACAGGAAATTAATTGGAATTCATCCTTATGCTCCTTGAACTACTCCAACAATTTGAGCCTTGCGACATGGGACATTGTCATGCTTGAAGATTCCATTTCTAGTTAGAAAGAGACATGCCCTGTAAGGGTGCAACTGATTTGTAATTACTTTCATATAGTCCACAGCTTTCATGGTCTGTTCTACCAGAACTAAAGGTCCCAGAGCCATCCATGAAAACACCTCCCAAAGCATAATACAACCACCACCAGCCTGCATATAACCTGTACAGATGGAGTGAGCAACTGTTCGTCTGGGAGATGAAGTACCCTGACATGACCATCAATGTAACGAATAAGAAATCATGATTCACCCGACCATGGAACTGTCTTCCACTGCCTGCTGAAATCTGTTTTCTAAAACACTTGCACTTGGACCTGTACTGTATTGGTCTGTCAGCTGAACCACTGTCTGGTGCCGATTTAGCTGCACCAAGCAGGACAGTCTCTGAAATCCTTCTTCTTTAATGACGCATGGACATCCAACACCTTGGTGTTTAATGCTGGTTTCATAATTCTTTATCCACTTTGCATAAATATTAACAACTGCAGATCATGAATAACCTACCAGTCATGCAGTTTTGGAGATACCCATTCTGAGTGTTTCAGCCATTACAATATACCCTCTATCAAATTTGCTTAGATCAGCAGCCTTTTCCCATCACTCACAAATGTAAGTGCAACATAAATTCCTTACATTCTCCAAGCAGCAGTTAAATACCATTC